GGGGGCACAATTGAGACTTGCATGAACCTTTTTGCAGCTTTCACTAAAAATCATTGTGGAAGATGGGAACACTGAAATGCAAGCACTCTCCCAGCCTTAGACTAATACAGAGTTCCAGTTTATACCATGGGACACTGAATGGCTGTACTATGGCACATTCTTTGCAGAAAATCTGTAAAAACAGATTCAGTCAATCATCTGTCCTGCAGTGACAATAGCATGCAGATAGAAGCCACTTGTGTTGTGGCCTTACTGCTTGCCTGCTCACAACCTCTGAGAAAGTCACAATGCCCGAGGAGCCTACTGTGTGTGACTCCTGCTGTGACATTCCCAACAAGCCATCAGAGATCTGGTCAGACTGTACAAATTCCATGGCGAGTGGCTCAATACATCCTGTACACATAGAGAGGATGACAAAGACATTCGCTCTCGGGAGCAGCTGAAGCAGAGAGTTGAGGACACAGCTGCCAGAGGCACAGCAGCTCCCGCACACCGGGGGAATGCAAAGACCCTGAGCAATGTTGCCCTGTACTGCCTGTACCCCACATGTGCTTGCTTTTCTTCTCCCCGACAAGTCTGTTTCTGGCCAGTTTCCTGCTCTGGCAGAGTCTTGGATTTAGGTCCTGAGTATCACAGGGTCAAGAACAATTGAACTGTACTGAGCCACAGGCTGAGGAGTACAGCAGGATGAATTGTGGCACTTGATGTGAAGTGTGACCATTTCTTTTACTTGGTCAGGAGTGTGCTTGAGTGGTACAGTTCAAGAAACAGCAGGTGATTCACATAGGAGGCGACAATTCATAACACCCACTGTCATGCAAAGGTAGTGGCAATGACTGTGAAACATCAGATACATGATACAGCTGTTACCTCATTCATTGTTTTCATCCTTCCTTTTTCTAGCAATTGCAAAGAAAAAAAAATAGTATACAGGAGTGTCAGTACCTCATCCTATCTCTATGCAGTGCTCTTGGGTCTCTCACCACTTCTTTCTCTTTCCTGGCAGTTCTCTGATACATTACATCTGAAACTGGCCCAGAGGCTGATGGAGCAAACAGTGATAGCAAACAGATCTATTTCCCAAGAGGGAAAACACACAACTTCCCCTCTGAAACATCCCCCTAGTTCTTCTAAAAACAGGATGAGAGTCAGGATGCAGAAGCCTGAGTTCAGGGGACTGGGTTTAACCTGGATTTCCTGGCAAACATGCAGAGCTCATCAGTCTGTCATGTACACTTGAATACTCAAAAATGGGAACAGGCTAAAAGTTGGGTTACATTGTTTAAAAGCTCTGTTTACAATTATGAGAAAACCTTGCTCAGTCTCCTATCTGAGTAAACATCCTTGGGGTGTTGCCATCACTTGGAAATAATAGGGATTGTATATACAATACGTCCCCAGATCAACATGGTATGGGGTCAGAGAAGTAATAGTAACTGCTAAAGAACACATTTACTGCATATTTGCTACACTGAAGATTCTTCTAGTAAAAGCAGAAGTCAATCTGTTTGTAGAGAAGCACCTGCAGTTCTGGGGAGATTTTCGTTTAAAATGAATAATATTGCTTAAAGATGCTGTTGCCAATTTACTGAACGCATACTGAAAATCTGCAAAGTTACGCTAGCACCACAGCTTACAGCAAGACTGCAGTTTAAAAGATGGAAATCTTGGAAAGGGCAAAGGGAAGTGAAATTTATTATTCAGAGAAGAGAGCTACAACACCTCATTCCCTGCTTTGCATTATTTGCTGAATATGGCATGACTTAGAAACCTGACAAACTGTTTCAATTTATAGAAGGAACTCCAGTAAGGCCAAAAAAACAGAGCAATTGTGAGGCAAAGCTTGAACAAATATGACTTTGCTTTCTATTGTTTATGGATAGCTTTTCAGGCCGTATCAATACCCTTGCTGTTATTCACATAAATCTCAGAGGTTTTTGCTACAGTGAAGATTTTTTTCTCTGTGTCAGAACCAATCAAACAAAAGCCATATATGGTAGGGCATATATAATGCTCAGAGCAGGTTCACATGTGCAGTCTTTTTTGTAGCTTTTCCAATTAACAGGAACAGTGTTGTCAGCAACAGAGGAAGGTAGTATTGGCCCAAATACCTTCTGGAGGGACAATGACTCACGGTGATACACAATTCTGCCTCCAGGCCCATTTAATCCCTTCTGCCTCCCTCCAGGCCCTATGGCTGCTCATCTGTGTTACAGCACATCACCCACTAGACAAATATGTGTTAAACAACTTGCTGGACTGAGGGCAGTGACTAATTTTGCACTGACTTTGACCAGACTGGGAAGCAGGGTTAGTAAGACTCAAGGCAAGACTGAACATACATTGCTTGTCCACACAAACAGGATTCTTTCCTACCACAGACCACCAAGGTAAACTGTTTTCAGTGTGGTTTACAGTGGAGCCTGCTGGGCTCCACTGGGTACCACAGAAAAGGGAAACCAAACCAGGTTAAAGCAAACATTGCTTCTCCCAGTCTGTCTGGAATCTCTAAACTCTGGTAAATTAAACAACCATCCAGATGTGTTATTTTTAAAACTTTAGACCCCGGTAGTGTTAAGCTGAAGGTTGTGCAGGCAGCAGTGCTGGGTGAGGGAGCTATTGAGAGTGACCACGATCCAGCCAGCTTCTGAAAGTCTGGATGGCTAGTTTTGAACAAATTTTTCCTTTTGTTCCCCAAATCTCTTTGTGAATATGACAAACCAATGCACATCTGTATCAAGTTTCGTGTTTGGCAAACTACTCTCACAATAAAAGAAGTTTTGTAAAAGGTTTACCCCACATTTTCCACACAGCATGAGAGGTACACAAAAACAGTGTCCCCAAAGGGATAAGCTTTCCTGTCTCATAGCATGCCCACACAGAAAATTCAGATCAAAGCCATATACTAAACACTGAACACCCCCCAAAAAACCCTAGGGCCAACATGACATCCTCCTCTGAAAAACATCAAATTCAACATGTTAGTAGCAAGTACAGATGTGTCAAATGGCCTTGATGTGGTCATTTTCCTGCAGATCAATTTTATAAAATCTGCCTCCCAGGAAGAGGCAATTCATGTGAAAATTCAGCTCTCCAAGCTGAGGGAAATGAAGCCACTACTGATGTGGCAGGCTGTCACTAATCAGCACAGGCCTTTATTATTTCAGGTTTGAATAATTTGTATGGTATTGAGGAGATATAATTTATTATTTTCAACACCTTGTCCAATTAGAATGCATCACACGGCCTGGTGTCTTATTGTGCAAGTATCTGGCACAACCTGTCCTGCACAGGTTTCAAATGTATGATCAGGTTAATCACATACACCCCTCTACAAATACTCAAATGGGACTCTTCCATTTTTGAAAGGTTCACAAAAATAACACGTCCCTTTTATCTGAACTAAGATAAGGTCGTTAAATCCCTTTCAGTGAGGAAAATGGGCTATCTCAGAAGATGTTTGTGTAGCTACTGTCTTCTCACTCAGTTGTTTGTGGTACAACACCTACACAGAGACACAACTTAGAAAGCTGGCTAGAACTTGTAAGTGGAGTTTCTTCCCCAGTTGTGTGCTGTCCTCCTGTGGGATCCTTATCTCATTATTATCTGAGGTGAGATGATGATATTTACCCATGGATAAAGTGCTTTGAGGCTGAGAGAAAAGCATTAGGATTACAGGATAACCTTGGAGGTTTACTTCCCAGATTAGAGTTCTCACTATGTTTCCATCCACATGACACTTCTGGTTTCATTATAGTGTTAGACAGGCAGGTATCCTTCAAGAACACTTTTTCATGTTTCATTATCTGAAGTATGACTATTAAACTATAAGACTTCTAGGCCTTCTCTTTTACCAGCATATAATATGGGGGCAGTGACAGTACCCAAGGTAAAATTCACCTCATCTGTCTTATGCTGTTTTGAAAATGAGCATCTGCCTCAAGCAAACCATCTTTGCTTTCTCTTTGGGTGATGAAGTGAGATAAGGCACCTCTAAAAGACAATTTATTGCACTCTGAGACCTTTAACATGAACTAGCTTTCAGACAACCACAAAGGAAGCCCCTAAGCAGCTGTTCACTGCCACACAACTGACTTCTACAAAGTCAGTGTGAGTCCCATACCCCATATCCACTACAGATCCCTCTAAGACTGACAGTCCTTCTACAGAACTAGCAAAAACAAGGGCAGAAATCTTCCTGTTACTGTCCAGTGTTGAATCACTGGAAGATATTCAAATGTGGGACTGTAAAACCTTACAAAAGTATGTCACATCCCAACTGTATTCCACATACTCCCTCTGAACCAGTCCAGCTGGCACTACCCCAGGAAGTGCAGGCAATTGGAAATACAGTGACAGTTGTCTTCATGCACCACTGCACGTTACCCGCAGCAGTACGGATCCAAGATCTTGGGATCAAAGGAAGGAGGCACAGAAAACAAGCACACACATTGCAGCAGGAGGTGACAGTAAACAGAAACTCTCTCAGTCCTCACAGAGAGGTTTTTATTAAGGACTTCTAAAATTAAAGCTCCTTTTAACTTGGTTTTAAATACTTCATTCCCTTGGCACTTTCTTCAAAAGCACAGTTACAAGCTCAGGAGTGCACAGGAAAAGGAACGTGATTTAAGTTTGTAACTCTCTCTTCCCCCCTCACCTGTCTTTTTGGCTGCATTTAGGCCTAGTCACAGAAAGTAATTTTTAAAGGAAGTTTACTTTGCAGAGAATGTGAAATCACCAGTGTTCCTCAAAAATGACTACCAGTAGTATGCACATCCCAAGAGGGGAGAAACAACAACCCTCCTTTGATATAATAAACCCAAAATAATAAAAGGTCAAAAGAGAACAAGAGAAGGAGTGGGTTCCAACACAGGTTTCATTAATAATGGCTGGATTTGAAATCTAGAAATATCAGTGTGATCTAAAGTGAATTTACTCCAAGGAAAAAGAAAACGCACAAAATTCCCTCTCCCTTATTTCTTTCCTGTGTCTTCACTTACTTTCTTTCAGTGTCGGGTGTTGATGCAGTGCTGCTGAGACCAAGTGACTCCTGCAAGAGAAGAAACGTAGCAGTGAGAGCAGACACAAGAGAAGCCTTTACCCAATTTATGCAGAATATCAAATTAAAGACCAAACAAACAAAAGTAGGTGATCAAAATCTACATGCTTACCTCAATCTGGGATCGCAGCTGTAGAGATGTAGGACTCACATCAGGTTTCTCCTAAAACACAACAAATGTCAGGTTAATGAAATTATTCTAAAGACCAGACAGAATAAATCTGAAGGGGAAAAAAAGAGAAGAAGAAACAGGGTAACATAAATTAGGACTACCTCAAAACAATTCTAATAGTAAACATTAACCTCTCCAGAGCGAATTACTTTCAGGATAAACTCTGAAATAATACAGAAAAACAGCTAATTCTATAAATCACTGAAGAATATAGAAGGTAAAATTGTAGAGAGAAGTGATGCAAAACAAAATATAAAGAGGAATTATTTATTTATTTTCACTAGATCATCACACAATTTGTTAGCTAAGTTCAAGTGCAATTTCCAAAAATTCACCTTCAGAGAAAATATACAGGGAAAATCTGGGATTATAAGAGCATGTCTGAGCTAAAAATACCAGGAGGATTCAGAGACATTTCAGAAAGGCCAGTTTCTCACACAGAAACTTGTCAACAGTATGGAGTTCAAATCACCTTCCTTCAAACATCTAGGGTATAACCATCTACTCCAGGACTCTGCCATTCAGGCTCCCTTTGCAGTCAATAGAGACACACAGAAGCTCTTACAGAACAACTCACCCAACAGGTTTCAGCTCTAAGTTAGATGAGGGAGTCCCAGTGGTGGTGTCTAATTTAAGATTGTAAGCCAACTGCCTGAAAGGCACATACTATTAACATGTCTAGCTGAAATCAGTGGGAAAAGTCCAGTTAAAATAGAGGAAGATATTATAGCTTTCAGTATTGAGAAATACACTTTGTGTATGAAATCATAGGGGAACCCACTTATACCTACTTTATTCTCAGCCAGTCCTAGCCCTCGTGAAGCTATAGCAAAGTAAGTACTGTAACTTACTCATCATAACTGGGTAAGCAACCACAGTAATATGCATGCTTCAAAAAAATAAAAAAATGGATTTGTTTCTCACTACTGGAGGGACTTCATGTTCACGCATTCCTCAGCCTACATGTAAAACTCTTATCTCCGTGAAATTGTACTTCCTATGCCCTTTGTTCACAGAAAGGGTGACAAAATGTTCTTGGGATTTAATTAAAAAACAAGAAAACCAGACACAATTTTCTGGAAAGGCAGTCTTTTAATATTAAACAGGAAATTACCACTGACTGCCATGAAGTGGTTTTAGATTAACCCACCCAGAAAGTCTACAAGATTCTAGATTAGAGAGGATCCTACTCTGCCATCATACAACTGAATCAGCTTGCACTGTTGGCCATGGCAGCCAGGAGGGCACAGGATGCCTCACAGCCCTGTGCTTGCCAAGACACAAGGCTGACACTGGGTCACTGTCCTGCTGGAGGATTTTGCCTGGCCATATGTGGTCACTGTATCTGCTTTTCTAATTTTATAACATGAAAAGGGAAATGAAGTTCTTAAGTGGAAGTGGACATTGAAAGGCGATCACATTCATGTACTGACAGGTCCAAAGGACTCCTCTAGTCAAGCAGAAGCTGGACCAAGACCAGGGAAATTCCACTGATGTTCACAGATCAGAAAAGTGAAATTAGCTATTTGGCACCCTCTCTTTTGCCATTAGCTCTGTCAAAATGGAATCCGATTAAGTTTTGCATCTGGAAAAGACTGCAGGCACATTGATGCAAATCCTCCTCAGACACTCTCCAACCCCTGCCTAGCAGTTTGCAAAGAGGTAGGGAAAGACAAGCCCCACAGTCCAAACACTTCACATTCATGAGCACCTTGTTAGTCCACACACTGCTGCACTTTCGAAAAAGGAGCATTTTATCAGCTTTATGTTACAATTTCAGTATGTCAGTTAGGAGAATCCACAATGTCCCCCATGTGCTTTTAGATCCCTTGTTGCAAGGTTTTTTTGTTTGTTTGGTTTGGTTTTTTTTTAATATGCTAGGTTTTTTGTAAACTATCATTTATAAGATGCTGCCTGGCCTCCCAAGACTACAGAAGTCTTTTGCTTGAGCAGCTGCTTGTGAAGTTGAAGCCTGAGACTGCAATTAGATGAAAAGTTACTATTTTCAGCCTAACACTATTCAGATGAACGGTCAGCTGCACCCCATGTAACAAAATCCTAAGAAAATGTGACTGTATTTGCTTTCCCTTTTCTCATTTGCTGTCAAGCCCACCCTGTTAGAATAGGAGCAGTTTTGTAGGATCAAGATGACTGTGGAGGGCAGAAGCAAGGACAACTCTCCTCTCCCTCCTCTAGAGCTCCTCTTTGCAACACTGGAATGCAAAACACCTGATAGTACTGCACGGTTGTGATTAATATTCCTACCTGCCTTTCCAGCAGAATGGTATTTCTTCCTATTGCTATTTACATAAGAAAACAAAGAAAATACTTAGGGAAATAGTACTCTCAACTGAACCTCTGGCTTAGATCTGTATCAGAGATCACAGAACTTTCATCAGCCTCAAGCAATTCTATTTATTTTGGTTAAAATCCATTAAACCTCATGTTAAACCTCACTTTAAAATCCACATGTTGTATTGGCTTTTATTCATCAGGATCAGGGCCCTTTTTTACCAAAGGCTAATTCTAGAAAGTTGAGCAAATGTTGTACTGTTGGCATGCTCTCAAGCAGGCTATAGAATCTTTTCAGAAAATATTTTTAAAAGTTGGTTTCATGAAAGTACATCTTTCACCCTTCTGAACCAAATCTTAAAAATTAAACAGAGGACAGCTTGCACGTATAGAAACAATGGTTGCAGTAAGAGACACTTCTAGCCTGCATTGCCAGGGCTCTGGCCTAGACAAAGCAGGTGTCAGAGCGATAGGTATTTTCTATCCTAGCAGCCTGCTGCCCCAGATATCTGCCCTCCACATATGCCTGTAAAGCTTGTCGGAGGTGTACCAGACATTCACACCACCTACACACTATGCAGTGTTGGTGAACAAAACCCAATAATCTGAGAAAGTACCTGATCAAGTGCAGGCTCCTTAAGCTATGTAATTAAATCCAGTATTTCCTGAAAGTGACTGATTTACTTGCATTGTTTCTGGATTTAAAGGGCCCTAGGCAAGGCCCCTATCCTGTGCTGAGACACTGTCAATGCATATTCAACTAGTCCAATACACTATTAAATCACAGCAACTAAGATCTGAAGATTCTGGAGAAACTGAGATATTCATCAATTGTATCCAATCCCCAGGGAACATATTAGAGGAAGGACAAACTGGCTTAGCACCAGCCTGTCCAGCTACCCTTGAGGTCCAAGGTCAGCACAGCACAGACTCTCAAATACCAATAATAAAGCCAGGGGGAGCTCTTAAAAATTAGTAATGCTAATATATTGCAGAGTGAAGTCCACCGAATTTAAACTAAGAATTCCTCCATCATCACCTACAGCTGATCTAAATCAATCTCAGCTTGCAGAAGAATTTTATTCTCCCATCTTTAAAGCCATTTCTTAGCAGTCCTATTTCCTTCCTGTCTCCTCCTTCATCCAAAGCCAATGCCATCAAGAGGATGGGTGCAGGACAAGTCCCTGAGGTCCTGGTTGAAGCTGTGATCCAGCAGCTAGAGGAAGGGATGGATGGCAGGCATTGAACTGCCCAGGTACTGCCTGGTATTGCCAACCCTTCTCCACTGTTGGCACTGAGGAAAGTGCCTGTGGTGCCAGACTGGTAAGCTTGGGAGCTCTGGTGCAGAAGTGCAAATTGGTGAAATGCTTTTTACAAATCACTCCTTTTGGAAGAAAACACGTGTAGTAATCTTAACAAACAGGATTTGTGGCTTATGCTTCAAGCCTTTAGTTGTTTGCCTCAGGGCTCAAGAAAGAAGCTTACTTCACAGGTAGCTTTTTTTTGTCTACTTTGTACACTGTGATTTATGTGATCATTTGCATACATTTTCTTTTCAAATTATTGCAGGCTTCTAAATATTGTGATTTTGGTTTTATACACTAACTTCCTTGTAAAAATCTTCAAAACAGTTTTGTGACGATTTATGAGCTAAGCCTGAAAAACACAATCAGGTAGAAAATATAAAGCAAAAAATACATGGGAAAAAAGCTGAAAACCTATTTCCTGACTGGAATGGCAGGTTTTGAATTCATGAGGGACTTTTCCTCCCATGACAACTTCAGTTCAGTTGTTCTGTACGTAACGTAACAGATAAGAGACAGACCATGGCCTAGCAGAAGGCATTGCTGTTCTGCTCCTGAAATACACAAGCATAGTAGAGAAGAGCATCTGAAAGGAAAACTGGTTACCCAGGGTATGCCTCACAAATTCTAGGGGGACTGTGTGTATTTTAATCACCTAAATATTATGCTTCATCTGTGCTCCAGACCACAACTTAGTTTAGGAAATTATATTCATTGAATGAATCCCTTCTAATTAGAAATTCATGAATTTCTTCACAGTTTCTGCCACAGGAGCTGTGTCCATTTGAATCATAAATTTAAACACTCCTCTGCAGATCCCGAGACAGGATTAATCTCACTGTGCAGACAAGAACTATGCAAAATGAGACCCAGATGAATGCTGCGAAAATTCAGTGATAACCAGTAATTTATAAATAATTTTATGAAACCATTTCAGCAAGTGTAATTAAAGCACCTACAGCTGAAAATTTCTGAGACAATTCTGCCAGCCTTTTTCCAAATGTTTTCTCTCTTTGCTCTGAACACGCATTACACGTTCTAGTGTAGCTTCTGAAATGATCAAACAAAGCCATATCTGAAAGACAGACAGAGCACTGAAGGCCTGTAAGTGTTTTGCTTTAAAAGCGATCGTTCTGCCCTGGTGTCCTCCACCGCACACTGTATTTCAGCTTCTGTGGAAGTCCTGGAGAAGACAAATGGAAGCCACTGTGCAGAAACAGTGTAGATATGCAGGTGTGTAATGGAAATCACCTACACGTCACTAACTATGGGCTACAGGTCAGAATAAAGAAATAAAAAAGACCTATTCCTATGTCAACCACATCAGCAAGTGTTTGAGAGAACTAAACAATTGAGTGAGCTTCCAGTAGTACAGATTAATAAAGTCCCATTTTC